ATGTTTTTCCCCCCTCACAGTCCACATCTGACAGTTTTCAAGGGTTTGCCGTCCCGACACCCAAAGTCCCCCTCCTCCCACCGATCAATGGTCCAAAGACCAACGGCTCAAGTGAGTGTCTACCTACTTCAAATATGTACATTAAGTTTAACATGTTGAAGAATTTCATTATTTACTCTCTGAAGGACTCAGATCACTTGCAGTGCCTTTACTCAAACTAAGTTGATGGATTGCAGCAATCAGAAAGTCGCCGTAAAGTGTTAAAAAAAAAAAGAAGCAGGGCAGGTAAATGTTTGTCCAGGCTGTTGCTCAATAACCCTCCTGAATGTGTCTCAACTGCCTTACCAGATGGCAAGATTGTTTACAAAATGGGAGTGTTTGTCGTAGAAGGAGGGGGAAGTAATTCATTTAATATTATCTAAGCATTCTAAATCTATGTGTGATAAATACACAACTTAGTTATTTTCATCATTAAACGTTGATTCTTCCTGATCTACTTTTTGAAACTTGTTTTTGATAAACCGTTGTATAAAACTTTTATATAAAATGTAAGCACATCATTGCATCCATGTTTCTTAATTATTCTAATTACTCTTACAGAATGTATATTCTTGTAACAATGTTTTAAGTGTTCTCTTAGTGTACACTTTCTCAGTTATTCTCTATTCTTTATTTGTACACAGTTGGTGGACATCACCTTTCCAATGGATCTGTTATATCTGTGCCCGACCTTGTGGAGGGGGAAGTATTTGTTCCTCCTCCCCCTCCCTCAATGGCGCCTCCACCCCCTCCACAGACTTTTGTCCCTCCTCCACGAGACTTCATGGGTGACCTGAACACTCTACATTTGGCAAAACCGTCCTCACTGGCACCCTTCGTGGATGAAGAAGACTTTACCTTCATTAAACCGCCACCAATGGCTCCGCCAAAGCCTCCATCTACTTGCTCTACTGGCTCTTTATCATCTGTACCCATTTCTAGCCCCTCGCCAGGCAACCTACCTGAGTGCCCAGCTTTTGCCCCACCTCAGCCTCCTTCTGAAAGGACACATAGGTCTCTTAAGAAACCACCCGAAAAACCCGTCAGACTGTCCTCTATGTTCAACTTTGACTCCCCACCACAGAGCCCTGCCCCACCTCCCCCTGTGCAGAGAGCAGCAGTGTCCAGTTTCAATCCCAGAAACACAGCAAAGCTTTACAATGTTCCTCAGCCCTCAATTCTCAGCGGGTATCAGGAACATGACCCAAGACCAAAGCAGATGTTACTCCTGGAAGATTCTGCATCTGTTAACTCTTCTCAAGTGCTTGTTGCGGTGGATGGAAAATCCCCTAAAGTGGCTACACCGTCCAAACCAGTTCTCAAAGAAGTACAGGAACTGAAAGAGTCCTTACACATAACCCAAACCCCTTCATCACGCCTGCCTGAGCCAAAAAAGGAGGCTAAAACATCGATAGTTCTAACAAAGCCAGACATTGGCAAATCTCTCCAGCCTCCACCTCAGACATCACCACAGCTTCAGAGACCAAAGGTTTCTCAGGTGAATTCAGAGACAGTCAACGACAGACTTGAAGAATCTCCAAGTCAAAGTCGCAAATTCAAATACAGTCCGTTAATAGATCGCAACCTGAAGAGTAATGAATCTAACGGGGCACGAAATGGACGTGTAGCCTCGCCACTGGCTCTTTTGAAGGCGGCTAAAGACAGAGATAAACACAGATCGAGTCACACTCTGTCACGGGAAAACAGCAGCAAGTCACATCAGGAGCCTAGTGCAATCATTCAACCGAGTGACTCAAGTCCCAATTCCTTTATCGTCAGCCCAAGGTCCAGCTCAACTTATTCTCCAACATCTCCAGAAAGATTGCAGGAGAGTTCAAAGTCCGTCAATCCTGTGGTACATATGCAAACTATTCAGGGTCCAGAGAAACCCAGCAGCCCTGCTCTGGTCATAGATCAAACGCTATCCAGAAGTTCAGTGCTCAATAGGATGGCTGCATCCGCAAATAGGACCAACCTGGTTGAGCAGAAACAACATGCAGTGCAAACCCCTTTAAAGTCTCAATCCACACAGCCTGAGGAGTTAAGTATGCCACTACTCACTCCACCGCCAGAGTTTGATGACTTTGACGATTTTGACGATTTTATGGAACCCCCTCCTTCCATGCCTCCACCTGACCCTCCCATGAAAAAGGCACCAGCACCAGCACCAACACCAACACCAACACCAACACCAACACCAACACCAACACCAAAACCAAAACCACCAACAACACCACCACCACCACCACCACCAAAAAAGATCCCTCTACCTCCATCTCAAGTTCCACCTCCTCCTCCAAAGGCCAAACCCCCACCAGCTCCAAAACTCCCAGTTCCTGACATTGATGCAAAGCCAAAGCTGCAACCCCAGACCAAACCAAAAGCCATCCCTTCTCAGCTACCATCTAATCTTTCACCCAGCCAGACCACACTCCAGAGCATCTTACAAAAAAAGATGTTGGAAATGGACCACAAAATGGCCACAGTGAAGGAGGCAGAGCCCAGTTCTGATGACTGGGGTGCCCCCTTGCCCGAGGAGGACTATAAGGTCCCTGTTGTCCCCAGAGCCCGACCACAGAGCAAGAATTACCCTGTGGTCAACAAAGTACCAACCCTAAACATGCAGGAGCTGGAGGATAAATTGGTCAGAAAATATCAGGAGTCTTCCTCAATGAAAGTTCCCACCAGGTAAAATATGGCAGTTTTTTTCTCGAGACAATAAGACCAGTGTTTGTGTACAGTATCAACTCATAATCATGAATTTGTTTTTCTTTTCAGCAACGGAACGCAGTCAAAACATCAGTATGGTATGACCTTTACAGTTCGGCCTGGAACCAAACAGCCCATAACCCTCGTCAGTAAAGGGGAGCCTTAATGTGTTAATGGGAAAGGGGTTCTTGTGTTAAGCACAACTGTGTGTGATTGGATAATGTGACCTTGCATCAGAAGTACAATGTGGGGGGGGAGGGAGCACTTTGAACAAATGTGGTTAGCAAATACGTTAAGAATGTTTTATAACAACGGTCTTCTCAGTTCTGAATGTTCTCTAAATGTATTTCTCAGTTTGGAGAACGCACTTTCAATGTCAAATATTGTTTTCTGTTTTTGTATTTTATTTTTTTAAAGTATCAGTCTGGTGGACAATTTATTTTGGCTGCTGCTGTTTAATCAGTGGAGATGTATATATTCCATACACATAAGTTTGAATTAGTGCCAATGCCAGAATGGTTAAATTCACAAGACAATATTCAAAGTTATCCAAAGCTGAGTGAAAATAAAACATCTGAATAAAGTCGGACAGATGTATCCGTAATCTTGATTGTATAATACAAAAATAATGTACAGTACAATTATCGTGGTTCATGCTGTAGTCACATGTCCAATAACAGAAATGTTCTTTCACTGTTACATGTACAATATGCTAGGTCCTCTGGGGTGAAGCAAACAGCTAATTCAGACAAGTGTGTTTCAGTTGGATTGTTTCTCATATTTATTGATCCAGGAAATGTTTTTCCCTCTTTACGAGTTATTTGACTGTAAAATGGGTGTTTATGCATCTACACTCATGCTGTAAATATATCAGTTTATATAATATAACAGAACTTAAAATATGTAAGATGCAATTGTATGTACATGTTAAGGTTGTATAATCAAAGTATTTAAAATAGAGGTTGTAAAGTCTTAAAACAGAGACGTTCATCTATTCCAAATGTTGTCCAAAAACTAACTGGAAAATAAATTCAAGCATTAATTGCATGTCTGGTGGGAGTTTTTTTGTGCCGTTTTTAAGCGTTTGTTTGGACGTCTTATTCGAGAAAAGACAAAGATGACTGCTTTTGAGTTTGCATATGAAAAAAACTGGTAGACAGAGCAGTGGATAATATAGTAATTGGACATTAAGGATTCAAACATAACATTTTTAACCTAAAATATGTTAAATTTCTTTTTTCATTCTCCGTCTTAAGCTAGTAAAGTTCTTTCAATATTCTTAAGCATTGCAATTGTCAGTATTAAGCCATTTGTTAAATGAATTCCATCTTCATATTTATATGTTGGCTCAAACTTAACTTTGTAAAGGCAATGACAAATATTTAATATAAAAGGTGGTCAGATTTTGGTCAAGTGTTCTTCACTTTCGCCACAACACATGGAGCTGGTGTCATGTGAATATAATAATAGCATCTCAGACCGGCCTATGTCAGACCACAGATTAGCAATGAGAACCAATGACCTGCCACTCACTTTGAAAACATGTAATCTTGTTAACTTCTGAGCTAACCGCCCACACAACCCTCATTTGACCCAGCAGTGTGTGACGAGGGTCTGCATGCAAATACTAATATAAACCAAATGAAACACTATAGCCATGACCGGGACACACCTGTTCATTTGGGATTTTAGTGCCTTTTCCATTAAAATTATATTAAAGATGTCTTATTCTCAATAACTTGTGTCATGTGACCCAATGACATAAATAAAACAAAAAAAGTATTCTTATATACGAGGGCTTATTTTATAGCATATTAGTATCTTTTTGATCATTACAAATCAAACACTTCATGTTTCTTTCAGTATGCAGTTAATGGTTAACTATTAGTTATAATTAAGCAATAGCTCACGACAGGCCGTGGTATATGGCCATTATATCACAGTTAAGGGGTGTGGTTCGGCCCGACGCGAAGCGGAGGCAGGCAGTTTGCTTTTCAGCCCAACTGTATACAGTTTTTCTCAGACGCGGAGGGATACTGACTTGTTGTGAAAAGTAACTTACAATTCTACCCGTGGTATACGCTCAGTATATCACGGCTAAGAACCAATCAGATTGCTTGATTTCGCTTGTCCGTTTTATAATATGGTATAATCCTCAGACACATTGTTTAAGTCTTCATCCCCACAACTGTTCCTTCCTAAAGTCTTGCTGATGTCAACATGTAGTAGATTCAAGGAAATAGAAAGAAGTGTCAAATGCTCTTGCTTTTACATCAGGACGTTACCTTTAATGTAAAATTATGCAAATTCAAATGGTTGCCTTAAGTGTAATTACACATGGAAATGCTATACAGTATGAAGGAAGTGGATAGAGACAGCAATTATAGAGAAACTATTGCTCTACCAGGTCGGGATCAGCAGAGCAATAGTCCAAATATTCAGCAAATATCTGGAGTACTAAATGACAATTACAAACTTTAATCAATATTGCCTGACTTTTTAGACACGCATTGAAGCCCCCTTAAAAACAATAGGGGGGTAAGTGCTCATCTTGATACATGCTCTTTCCAAGGTATGTGAGCATTGGGTTTAAGAGGAAGGGTTTAGGGCTTTAGCGGCCGGATCCACCGTGTGGTGAAGCACGAGGTGATCCCAGCCTACGGTTGTTAGGGTGTTGGAGCCATCGTGGAGCCAGCAGACACCTTTGACAAAGTCCTGGTGCCGCCGATCTCTAAGTCTAAAGAGGAAGAAGAAATGATTACTTAAAACTGGGCAGTAATTCAATATCACAATCTTGAGATAGAAATAACATCGTCTTAATCAATAATAACAAGCAAATACTACATTAACATTTTTCATGTGATCTGGTATAAATTACTTTGAGAGAGTGTCATTTAAAGATTGTGGTTTTTGCTTTTACATCCCATTAAAATGACCAATGATTACCAAGCATGACCAAACAATTCCCCTGCATTTCTCATAGTATCCGCTGGAATGTTTTTTCTCTATAATTCCACTAAAACTTGTTGATTTTGCACTTAAATTCCTAATTACATAATTTAACACTCATACTAATTCACACAGGCAAATACAATTATTGTTATGTAGACATCTAAACTGGGTTAGAACATTTTGCAAAGCCCCATGATTATGTATTTTTAATTGATTGCATTTTTTTGATTGACTTAATTCTTTAGTATGAAGTTAAAGGACTCACATTTCTTCCAGGTCGGAGTTCATTACAGCAAGGGAACAATCATCACTTATGGAGGCTAGCAGGGGCGTACTGGGAGGGGAAAAATGAGTTAAAACTTTGTAGAGGAGCAACATAAGAGCTAATAAAACTTTGTTCGAAATCAGAGTTACCTGTGTGTAGAGAAGGCCAGCCCATTCACTCCGCGGCTGTGAACGCTCACCAACTGGGCCGGCTCTGTTCCCAGGAAGTCCTTCATGGTCACTCTACCCAGCGCATCACCTGAGGCACAATAAAAAGGATCAGAACCACAGAGGCTGCCAAATAAATGTCTCCTTCAATCAGTAACCTGCTGCTGGAACTTACCAAATGCAATGGTGCTCCTGTGGTGGGGGTGCCAGACGACAGTGGTAGGGGAGCAGATTGACTCTACATCTGAGACAAACACAAAATCGACAATGGAATATGCATTATACCAAATATTGCTTAAGATGTACTTCCATTAATTAAGCTGGACAGACTATTATAATGCATTTCAACTGCGTACGGTACAACTCTACTCGGCACGACTTGTTCTTTTCGGTTTTCCGTTAAGGGAAAGTTATAGAAAGTACCTAGTACTTTTTTTGGTACCACCTTGGTCAAGGTTCCAAGCATGCTGAGCGTATATCCAATGTGATATAATATAACTGTAAATTAATTAAAAACTCTCCCATTGATAGGTTTGATAACAAAAAACCTTGCGCCTCTTGCTTATCAGTGAGAATGATAATGTAAGACATAATTAGGATGAGATATAGTAGCTTTTAGACTGAGAATATATAAAAAGGTAGTTGGATAGCTAAATGTTTGATTAAATAGTACAGCAAAAAAGTCACTTTCACACATTCCCTGATCTTGACAGAGATATGCTCAGACAGAGTGCCCATAGTGTGAGTGGGTGAACTATGAAGTACAAACCGCAGATTTTAAGAAATAGCAGCCTAGGAAACTATGCCAAGCACTGCACATTTGAAGTAAGTTTGAATGGTACCAAAAGTGAGTCGAATCGAGCAATGACAATATGGCATTAGACTTAGGGATCAATAGACACCAGACGAAGGCTTGTTAGCTCAGCCCCCGGGCCGCCATTCGCCCATCCCTGATCTAGATTGTTAGACATTTGTCTGTCAGCGATACTACTTTCCACTGTAGCACCAACAAAAAATCCTGTTTCGTCAATAACCTGTCAAAAATTATCAGGAGCTGTTTTTCAAACTGGGACGTGTTGCTCACCTATTCTTGATGCTGGTTTGTCTGGCTTCCTCCTGTCCCACATCAGCACACGGCCATCCTAAGGGAAAGCCGATAACAACAGGTTGAGTTTAACTGAAGACAAGTTTAGACATGAAATTATCCCTCTGCACTTAATTAATGCAGGACTTTAATTCACAGCATTAATAGTATCATAACAAAAGATGAAACATCATGCTCAAAATGTAGTTCAGGCAGTCAATGTTTGTTAGGTGTTGTGTTCACAACAATATGTGCCAACTGAAGATCAGTATCATACCTGACCACAGGAGACGAAGATAGACTCATCTGTCGGACTGCAGGCAACACAACTGACTGGCTGCGTGTGCCCTGGAGGAAGAAAAAAGTGGGGACAGGTATGGCTTTTACCATCTTTATGAATGAACATTTCCTTTTTTAAATTAGGGCTGTCATTTTTTTTATTACTGGTCACATGGACACAACTACATGTCCATCTTGTTATACAATGAAACTTCTTGTATTTCAGAGAAAAGCAAACCGTTAACAGTTCTTAAAAACTTTAACTGAATATTATTTTATTTTAAAATAACATTTCAAGTATATGGATATTCTGAGAGCAGTTTTGAGATGTTCCTTTACCATGGTAGGTAGTAAGGGCCATATCCTGAGTGAGATCCCAGACTTTAATTCTGCAGTGAACAACAGGGGAAGAGATGCATTGTTATTAGAGCTGCAGCGATTAGACGATGGACAGAACAAGCGCCAATTATTTTTGATAATGTGTTAAATGTTTATTTAAATGTTACTGCAAAAATGTCAGAAAATGCTTTTCAATATCGAGATGCCTTCTCTTTTATCCGTTTCATATCATATTTAACTGAATAGGGTTTAGGATAAAATAAGACATTTCAAAAAAAGACATAAACGATTAGTCTAGAAAATACTATACAGAATAATAATACAAAAATAATTGTTACAGGCAGACCTTATTGTGATAAGAAAGGTGAGAGAAAAAAAGTGAAAAGAATCCTAATGCCGAAGTTTTACAGATCATCAGTCAACATGTTTCTGTTCTGGATGTGTGCGTGTACTTAGAAAAAATGATGTCTCACCGACAGTCCATGCTTCCAGTGACAGCACCACTTCCTCCACTGATTGGGCTCACTGTTGTGACAATGTGGTCATGCTCATGTTTGGTGAAGCGATTCACCAGCAGGCGTTCATCCTCTGCTAGTTCCCAGAGCTCCAAGGCACCTGCGAAGGAACCAATTCAATAAACTCTAGTTAAGCACGTAAAGACGATTGCTTGATTCGTAACTGCTGCAAATGTTTTTCTTACCTGAGTCTGATGCAACAAGAATACCCTTTTCTGATACCCATTTGACATCTGTGACTCCAGCCTCAGTTTGCACACCAGCTTTGCAGAGTCCCTCATTGGGGGCCTGCTCAGGGTCGCTGTAGATCCAAACAGATCCCTGCCAGTTTCTGCCAGAGAGGCTGGAGGCACCGAGAAGGAGAGTGCCATCTGTGAAGAGAGCCAATAAGGAAAGACATTAAAAAAAAAAAAAAAAAACATAATTCTAGGCCACAGAAAAATAAAGTGACTTGTCAGGAGTCACTATGTTCAAAAATGGCTAGCCTCCAATCCACCAAGTAGTTCATATTCAAGCTGTACATTGCAATGGGTTTCTCAATAACGAGCCACTTGCAACCACTTAAAGAATCTCGCTGACCTAGAGTGCATATGCAGCTTTTTAAAACAATGAAATGTATATTGTTTATACACCTACTCACGAGGGGAGGGAAGCCTTCATATCAGTACATACGCACATATACTCAATAATAATAATAACTACGTAGCGGCCCCACGTGTTTACCTGTGTACATTTCAACTAGCTTGCCTCTCACCTGCTCTGTACTGCGCGCAGCTCAGATGCTTCTCCATGCACGCTGGAGCATTGGGAGGTATGTTCCAACAGTTCTCCTTGATCATGCTAGTATCCACTGCACTTTTCATTCAGGCTACGCACTTTTTTTCAATGACTACAGCTATAGTTTTCCAAACCAATTTAGCACGATTTTAACGTTAGCTAGCTAGCTGTTACAGTTTGACTGAGGACCGGGTTCGTCTTTGGTTGAGTTAGGAAAGGTAACTAACAAGTTGGCTTGCTTTAGCTAAATATTGCTTCAGATTTCGTTCAAACAATGAATGAACGACTGAACAGCAACCATTAATGTATGCAACACATGGGAGCGATGAACAGACACTTCCTGGTCTCTTCTTCTTCTTTGGTGTTTGACGGCAGTTTTCTTCCACAATGGTGGATTACTGCCACCTGCAGGTTTAACATTTTTCTCATGTCTTAATTGTGAAGCTGTCTTTATGAAATTCCTTCCTTAAGCTCTGTCTCCTCTCCTCACTCTGATATATGTTTCTAAAGTTGTCTGCTACCTTCCCTATTTTCTATAACTGTGCCATAATTTGTGTTTGTCCTGCATGATAAATACATACTCTCTCAGACTAATGGCATAGATTTCCACAACCCATTCAATGTTTTCTAATTATACTACATTAGAACTATACTATAAATAGGTTGTGCTGTGTCATTGAAGTCCCAGTATTCCTGCAAGTTTCGTATGCATCATAATCCTTTATTGTTGGTTGAACCTCTGCTTTACTTAACGGTAGTGGTATTTCAGATAATTATTATTTTTCAAAACATTTACATACAGAATGATATAAAGATGACATACACCTCATTCTCCTCATTCTATCTCCTCATTCCCTTCCACCCCTTCGCAGGAATATTCAATTTCCTATAGTCTGTGTATCAAATGAAAACCTTTTGCTTGCATACTGTACTTTCCAGACCTAATGCTTGAAAGCTCTGACTATTATATTCAGAAGGAATTATGACACTCAGTTGGTTATTTTTCTTCAACCACTTGAATGCTGACATTTGACCCTAGCATCCCAACCTGGTCCCGACCTTGCAAGAGGCTGTCACCAAACTTTACGGATGTGTAGTTGAGATAAAAAATAAGGTCATGTTTGATTAGGCGTTGTGTCTGGTGTGTGTTATTGTTTTTATTGATACAAAAGGTAATCTCTCAAAATGTGGTATAACCGGCCCTAGGCTGTGGGAGTGGCGATCATGAATCATCTTTAAGGATGTGCAAATGAATGAAAGAAACATGTCTTTCTCTTTCAACCCTTGGTGATTGTCTCCTTTAATGTGCATGCTTCTTTCTTTTTGCCCACCACAGTAGCATTGATATTTATTGTTGCAGCGTGCATCTCTATTATCATACAGGCTGTCGTTTTTCTTCCTTTTCTTCTCCAGCTTCATGTTGGCAGACAGGAAACCTACATAAGTGCATCATGCATTTCTGAAAATACTTTTCTGTTCCTCTACTATTGCACTTTTAAACATGGCAATACAGCTTGTAAACTGCTGACAAAACTTCAAACATTCACCTCACACCCAATTAGACATGTCAGAAGGGAGTAAGGGAGAGAAGCAATATATGTATAAGCCTTTAATCTCTTCTTAACCATTTCCTTGACTCTTTAGTAATTTCTTCTGACGAAGCAACACATTTCGATTAGTGTAAAGAACGTTATCTCATATCCTCATGATCGCCCAATATTTGTGTCTTGAATATATCTTCCATTCTGGTCAACTTCAGAAATCATTAAAAGGAAACCAGGATTGTAAGTTGTTATAACCAGGATGAGTTTGGTGATATGGCCACAGTAACTGGGTCCATGAAACCCTATAACATGATGGACAGAATATATACCCTGCAACTAACATCAAAGATTCAAGGGATTTGAAATACATGCAAAAAGCTGTATGTTCTGTGCAGTCATACATGGAAAAAAAGCAGATATTTGATGATGGTGAAGGAGGGAAAAAAGACAGCTTGCAGATTATGCATTATGATATGATAAAAACTAATTATTTGGAAATGACTCGTTGTAGCTGATGTTCTAATATAATGTAGGTAAGAGAAGTAAAATCATAGCTTGTACAAAGCATAGACTGCATATATAAAGGTACAAAGTCTATGGTCGACACAAAGATGTTTAATGGCGAGGTGTCAAGTTGAATTGAACTAACAGGAAGTCTGATACGCTCATTGGGCCATCAGAAACGTCATAGATTACACGTTTTATTTTTCAACAGTACAATTGTTTCTTTATACTACAGTTGTACCATTATGCGAATAAATATCAACCAAACACCCTATTAGAGTTAGAATAGGTAAAATAATCTTTAAAATCCTGTAAAACGCGTTTATAACTTCAAGGAAATCATACACGCTTTTAATCTGAAGGTGAAGAACCGGAAGTGGCTGTTGAATTGTCGCAGCCTTCACACTTGTGTCTCTCGGTCTAAAATCGATGAGTGATTGGCTTTCTTGATTATTAAAGATATTGTGAGTCTAGTAACGTGCTCCCTGAAGGTAAGCACACCATAATGTCAAGTGGTAACATTAGAATATGTTCTATAAGGTGTCGTAGTCTCACTTTGTGCTAGCTTTGTAACGTTAGACGTTGTCACAGTGATGCCTTTGTCTGACTGTCTGAAGTGTTCAAAGCTAACCGTTATTTGTAGCTAACGTTAGCTGTTCTGAGGTAGTACCTGTGTGAGTGACAGGTCGGTAGGTCTGTGTGCTAGTTTACTGCTGATGTGTGCACACCGGACTGCAGGCTGTACGCAGACAGATGACATTAGGATTAACCTTTTACTACTCACTATTATGAGTCAAACCTCCAGACAGGCCAGCATCATTAGTGTAAATTGTCATTCCAGGTGATAATAAGGATCTAGGGTTGTTGTCATCTTTTCTAATTTAACAATTCATAGCATTACCTATTAGTGGACGAGATGGCCTGTTGAAAAACACCCCTGGCTTGCTTATTCCTGTTTTCCATTTGCTAGAAGAATTGTACTGTATGTCCAGCTGTCTCAAGTTCAAGATTTAATTGGGGGTCAAAGTTCATTTGGGGAGACATGAAAAGACTCATGGATGACATGTGGATGTCTCCCCCACTCTTGAACCTGCTTCTAATGCGTATCATTTAAGCCTTTATGATGGGGTATTCTGTGACTTTAAATAAAGACACTTCAACTGTAACTTAAATATTCCGAGGTACTTCTCGAAAGCTGAAAAGTACATTACCAGTATAACTTATTTTGAACTATCCCTTTGTGTCTTTATCTTATTCTGTTTACACTAAATGTTTATCCTTGTGTATGCTTTGTATTCTGGTGTTAAAGTTTCTCTGCTGAAATGTTATGTTTAGTTTCAGTTTATGAACAAAACAGAAATACATACAATACTGAGATAGGGCTGCTCGATTATGGCAACAATCATAATCTCGATTATTTGGGTCAATAATTGATATCACGATTATTAAAAACGATTATCCATTTACTTTGAAAACATCCACAAAAAAATGTTTTAAAGTATGTTCTTAACAGTTGATTACCCTGAACTTTAAGTATAATTCAACTGAAAAACCAATACAAAAATAAATAAATAAATAATCGTTTTATTTCGATTATGTTGTTTTCATAATCGTTGCAAGCCAAAATCGTAATTTCGATTAAAATACGATTAATTGAGCAGCCCTATACTGAGACATTATGGACATATGTGATACAATTACAGAAGCTTGGGATAGGGTATGTGAATTGTATTATTAATGCTATATTGTTAATATAACATTGATAAGATTAACAATATATAAGGTAACAATATAACAAAAGAGACACATGGCAAGTAGAAGTATAGTATTTGCATTATTTCAAATAATACATATAGAGATTATAATCTTCATTGGGCCTATTCTAATGAACGTTTAAATAATGAAATTAATGAAGCAAATATTCATTAAGAAAAGCTTCTGGCAGCTCTATAGTTATATAAGCTTTAAAGTCATGTCTTACCCAGATTTGACATTATACAATTTTAAGTAATGTTTAATCAGAATCAGGAATGGCACTCTTTTGAAATTAATTATTCTGTATTACTGTATGTGGCATTGATGGCAGCGCTGTCAGGATGTGTAAGTGACTGCTTCAGAGCCCAGCAAGTCTTAGTAGTCTCTATAGTGTACATGCTGTTTGGATACTGTTGGAAAATGGGTATGTTATGTTATAGCTCTAATGTAAGATTACACCTGTGCAGTGATACTCTACTTGATTTATACCTCAGGGGTTCGTCATGGCCTTGAAAAGGAGAAGGGCAACATCCCCGTCTAGCAGTGTGAGTGGAGGAGATTTTGACGATAACCAGTCTTCATCTCTAGCGTCTTCAATTGGGAGAAAGAGGAGAAGGACCTCAAACATTCCTACTGTGGATCCTGTAAATTAACAAATCATTTCAGTTTCAGTTTCTCTTTTTCAAACTGATTTTTACATATTAATACTTCAATACATGTAGTTGATATGCGGAAGGATGCAGACATTTATCAGTGTTTATTTCTTTGCCCTGCAGATTGCTGTCTGTCATGAACTGTACAACACCATCAGAGATTACAAGGATGATCAGGGTAGGATGTTGTGTGAGCTTTTCATCAGAGCACCAAAACGAAGGTGAGGGAACAAATCATTAGATATGTGCATATTCAATTACTTCTTAAACTTCCCTTAAAGGTCCCATGTCATGCTTTTCTGGTTATTACCCGTCCCCTTGTGTGTTATGTAGCTTTTTATGCATGTAAACGGTCTGCAAAGTCACAAACCCTCAAAGTACACCCTGTAGCGAGTAAAACTCTAACACAGAAAAGACCTGTCTATCTATGCTGCCCCAGAACGCCTCGTTGGAGATTTTTATTTTTCCATTTTATTCTTCCGGGTACCAAGTGACGTAAGGGTCTAAGTGACGTAACGGCTACACGGACCAAACGCGGACCAATCCGTGGACTTCCTCACACACACACACACACACTCACTCAGCCTTATCCTGTACTCAGCCTGAGACAGCAAGACACAGCGAAACTCAGCCTGAACTCAGCCTGAGCACACACACAAACTCACAGCCAGGCTACGTGTGTGTGTGTGTGTGTGTGTGTGTGTGTGTGTGTGTGTGTGTGTGTGTGTGTGTGTGTGTGTGTGTGTGTGTGTGTGTGTGTGTGTGTGTGTGTGTGTGTGTGTGTGTGTGTGTGTGTGTGTGTGTGTGTGTGTGTGTGTGTGTGTGTGTGTGTGTGTGTGTGTGTGTGTGTGTGTGTGTGTGTGTGTGTGTGTGTGTGTGTGTGTGTGTGTGTGTGTGTGTGTGTGTGTGTGTGTGTGTGTGTGTGTGTGTGTGTGTGTGTGTGCGCGCGTGTGCTCAGGCTGAGTTTCGCTGTGTCTCGCTGTCTCGCAGACCCCACGCAGCAACCAGGAAACCACACCAGTAAGCCAGCTCACACTGTCCGCTCCTCGCAGCAGCGAGCCTCGCAACGTTCCGCCAACACGGCACCCAGACCCCACACAGCGTTCTCATCTGTTTGTCATTACTGGTGTCATTTTCTGGTTGCTAACGCCATTGTAACACATAATCACTGATGTTCCGCTGTAACGGTGGTAGACCATAGTGGTAGACTCATCAGAACAGAGTGGGCGAGCTGACCAATCAGAGCACAGTGGGCTCATAGGGAGGGGGGGGGGCAGGAGCTCCAACAAGCCGTTTAGGACAGAGAGTGAATACACATACTATACAGAGATGCTGTATGAGAAAACCAATGTGATTTTGGAACATTGAACAATGTAAATCTATTCTAGTATACCTCAACAATGGAATTATGATCAGTAGAAATGGCCATGTCATGGGACCTTTAACATGAATTAAACATGAATTTGTTAAATTAAAATGTACAAATCTCTTTTCATTACAGGAATCAACCGGACTATTATCATGTGGTGTCTCAGCCTATTGACATGATGAAGATCCAGCAGAAATTAAAGATGGAGGAGTATGATGATGTTGAACAACTCACTAGTGACTTTCAACTGTTGTTCAACAATGCAAAAACATACTACAAGGTAAGAAAAAAACAATCAAATATATAATAATAAAACATTTCTGATTGTAGGCAGGAAATTACGTTTGTGCACCGACATGAATATGTGTTGTTGTGTCTATATAGTCGGACAGTCCTGAGTACAGAGCAGCCTGTAAACTTTGGGACCTTTACCTGAGAACCAAGAACGAGTTTGTTCAGCGAGGCGAATATGATGATGATGATGAAGATGGGTACGATGCACAAGACAACCCCGGAGGGTCCACTGAGGATGAGGTGACATACACAGGACTGATAACACATATGTATTATTATTCTTAATTTAGCACATACTGCTGACTATATTCATATTTAGTTAAAAATCAGTGTTTCTGATCTGTTTAATCAAATTACAATATCTTAATTGTTCTGTCTATTATGCTGGTGTTTTCAAACATGGACATAGCCACCATGATTGAACCGTTAGTTTGTGAATATTTTAAATCCTCAGGTTGGCCTTTTTGCCATCGTCATCTAATCTAGTTTTAACCGGAATTTATTCGTTTTCTGACCAAATAATAAAACTGCGCTATACATTTCTACTTTATCATGATTGACGGGTCACTGTGGTTGCGACTTGGTCATAGTTTACAAAATAAAAATCATTGTGTATTTAAGAAGACATGAAAGTAGTCAATGGAACCATAATCGTCACAGCTGTATGTCTATTGAAGTAAAACATAATTTGAGAAGTAGGGTCATTTTATCATAGATTTCTACACAATTGGACATCTTTTGCAACCACTGGAGTTCCACCTGCTGGTCATTTGAATAAATGCAAGTACAATGCACAAGATTGGCTTCACTTTTCTATCTTGAGGGGCTATGTCCACTTCTTTATACAGTCTATGCATACAACACAACTGGGTGGTTTGGTATACATAATTGGAAGTTTGCTTTAATTTGCATGGTCAAATATACATTAAAAGCAATGTAGTATCTACCTAAATGTTGTGACCACCTGTGTGTGACAGAATGCACCCACCTGCTTGAAAGAAGTCCTCGAGCAGCTCCTTGATGCCGTGGTGTCTCACACTGAGCCCACAGGCCGCCTGGTCAGCGAGCTGTTTCAGAAGCTACCCTCCAAAATGGTACAAGCACCTCAGTATGACTTGAGAAATGATCAGTCAAATGTTGGACTCTGCTTTGATACGTAGTTTGCCTTTTTCATTTAGCAATACCCAGATTATTATGCCATCATTAAGGAACCAATAGATCTGAAAATTGTGGCTCAGAAGATCCAGGTATGCTGTTACATCTTCTACATTAAATATGCAAACATTTGAATGATGAAAATGTCCAATACATATATTTTATTTTAGTTGAATCACTACAGGAGCGTTAGTGCCATGGCTAAAGATATAGATTTGCTGGTCAAGAATGCCAAAACGTATAATGAGCCTGGATCGCAAGTGTTTAAGGTAAGTGTGTACATCAGAATATCATTGGTGCTAAATGTAATTTTCAGTGTTTGCCTGGATACCTAAGAGCTCTCCTATGTTCCTAGGATGCAAACACCATCAAAAAGATGTTCTCACAAAAGAAGTCTGAGATGGAGCATGGAGAGCCAATCAAGTCCAGCATTCGTATCAGGTAAATAAATAGGAGACAACTCTCAGACTAAAGTGGAAAAAAGTCATGTTAGCTTCACCACTCTTTTTCTCTGGCTCTAGGAATAGAAGGTCTGCCCAGGGTGACCGCCTCTCAGCGATCACCATGGCTCTTGAGTATGAAAGTGATGAGGAAGGCATTCTCTCCGGTACTTCTTTACCTCTATATCTTACATTCATCATGAAGATCCTCTGTACAACAAATGGTAATTAATGGCTGTGTCATTGTTTATTTATCTCTAATACAATTTTCTCAGGGTCCGTCCACTATGATGAGGGTGAATCTGAAGCAGAGAGTATGACCTCTAACATGGACATGAGTAATCCCATCTTCCAGCTGTATGAGGCGGTGCGAGGGGCCAGGAACAGCCAGGGCCAGCTGATCTCTGAGCCGTTCCTGCAGCTGCCCTCCAGGAAGGACTACCCCGACTACTACCACCAGATCAACCAGCCCATCTGCCTCCATCTGATCAAGTATGACAGAACTAGTAGTGATCTACGTTTGCATGTTTTTTTCTTTTTTATGTCTTTGTCCCCAAGGAGCAGACATTTTTTACAACATTAAAAACTGTTCCATTTTGTGCCACCCTGAGTGGTGTCACCCCCTGAGTTCAACACAGATTCGATATGCTTTGACATGTTATTCTTTTAAAGTGAAGTATATTGAACAATAATTACATTTTCATTTCCATTTCAAAGTTAAGTTTAAGCAGAAAGGCTATTAGTATAATGTGCTCTATTAAGTATTAATGCAGGGATTTTATACCAATTTAACTTAGATATTTCTTAGCTTACATTTCAAATTGATTTGCAAAAGAAGCACATTAATATTGTTGTAAGTAATATTTCTAGTTTGCATGTAAATATAGATCTGTTTATCCATCAAGTTACATTTGACTACCCTTTAAAATGTCCTGAGAAAGTATATAAGTTACTAAAAAAAACACTAGTACTAGTACTTCTTTATATCATTGTAGATACTGTGAATTCAGTCTCATATTACGGAATATCTACCGGAAAAATTAATATCTCACATCAAGCAATTTGTTCAATACATGCATTTATTGTAATGGAACATTTTAGTTACAATATTATAGAAAAAAAGTCCCTTTTTAAACTAAAATCTGAAATTTCTCAAGCTTTTCAAACATTTCTTGGATCAAATCCCATTCTCCCTCTGCTCCATCTTTTCTAATTCATGCTTTAATCACTGATTTGTTTTATTTTGTTTTACCAACCTTCTCTTTTTTTTATTTTCTACCCCTACGGCAACACACACACTCACTGTACAGTACAGTTTTTCTGTGCCTTCCTTTCCAAATGTGAGAGCCCGTAATTCCCCACAGGAACAAGATGAAGAGCAACGAATATGAGAGTGTGGAGCATATCGACTCTGATCTGATGCGGATGTTTGAGAATGCCAAACGCTACAATGTTCCTCACTCCTCCATCTACAAGCGTGCACTCAAACTCCAACACATTCAGCAGGTCAGTCCCAACGCACACTTTTGACCAGCTACTTTAATATTCAAGAGGCATTATAGCCACTTGTTTCATATATCACCTGTTATCTGTTTAGATGAAGAGAAAAGAGCTCTTACAGAGAGATGATGATGATGGAGACAGCATGCTCTCCTCTGCAACGTCTGACACCAGCAGCACAAAAAGAAAAAGGTTTGCACTTTTACCTAATCAAATCTCTGAAGTGTGTGGAGGTATATCGACAGTTGATCCGCAATTTGTTTCCAGTCACAAGAAGAATATGAAGAAAAACCGAATGAAAACTCTTTTTGCCTCCGTGGCCGAGGCGCGAGAAGCTAGCACTGGTCGGAGACTTTGTGACCTCTTCATGGTCAAGCCCTCGAAGAAGGACTATCCCGACTACTACAAAGTCATCCTGGAGCCAATGGACCTCAGGACCATTGAGCACAACATCCGCTCAGACAAGTACATGACTGAAGATGCAATGGTGGAAGAGATGAAGCTGATGTTCCGCAATGCTCGACACTACAATGAAGAAGGCTCTCGGGTAAGATCTGTTAGATATTTGTATCTAGTTAACAGCAAGTCAAATGAACTTCATCCAGGAACTAGGAGCTCCTCGTGATGACTCTGTTGTTGTTTTCAAGGTCTACAACGATGCTGACGTCCTAGAGAAGATTATGAAAGACAGACGCAAGGATCTTGGGCCAGCAACAGATGATGATGACATGATGTCTCCAAAGTTGAAAATAAGTACTTAACTTTGTCAACCAGATTTACTTGCTTTTATTGAATGAAATCCAAGCTATGGTGTGAGTTTGTTTTCATCAACATTGACTTTATTTGATTTCAGGAAAGAACAGCATTACTCTGAAGAAGTCCAAGTACTTAACACCCTTGCAGCAGAAGCTGAATGAGCTCTATGAGGCTGTCAAGAACTTCACAGATAAGCGGGGCCGTCGCCTCAGCACAATATTCCTGCGGCTGCCGTCTCGGGCTGAGCTGCCTGACTACTACATCGCTATCAAGAAACCTGTCGACATGGAGAAGATCAAGAGCCACATGTTGGCTAACAAGTACCAGGATGTGGATGCACTGGTGGAGGACTTGGTGCTCATGTTCAACAATGCCTGTACTTACAACGAGCCCGAGTCTCTGATTTACCGCGACGCCCTCATGCTGCACAGAGTGCTGCTGGAGACCAGGCGGGACCTGGAGGGGGGGGATGACGACCATGTGCCGGATGTACCACGCCTCATTCAGGAACTTGTCCGCAGCCTCTTTGTTTCCGTGCTCGGTCACCAAGATGACGAGGGCCGTTGCTACAGCGATTCACTCGCGGAGATACCTGCCGTAGATCCCGCAAATCCTGAGAAGCCACCACTGAACTTTGAGATTATCAGGACTAATGTAGATCGAGGGCGTTATAAGAGGCTGGATGTGTTTCAGGACCACATGTTTGAAGTGCTGGAAAAGGCCAGACGGTTGAATAGGTGAGGGGGCTGTTGTCTTTTCCTATTTAATGCTTTTTTGTGGTAGGATTATGTATTCAAAGAAAGCTTACATTTATTCAAACGCTATGTTTATTACAGGACCGATTCCGAGATCTTCGAAGACGCTGTGGAGCTGCAGCAGTTCTTCATCCGGATCAGAGACGAGCTGTGTAAGAACGGAGAGATCTTGATGTCTCCTGCCCTCAGCTACACCTCCAAACATCTGCATAGTGATGTGGAGAAGGAAAAGAAAGAGAAGCTCCCCAAGGAGTTTGAGGAGGACAAAATCAAGAGGGAAGAGGAAAAAAGGGGTATAATGATAAACACATTTGAAAGGTCACAGTATTTGAAGTTCTGTCATACATTGTCTTAGCATATACTGTGGCATTATCTTATTGTGTCACCTCTAAATCCCCAGAAGCTGAGAAGAGAGAGGACTCAGTTGGAGGATCATGGCAGTCTAACCTGCAGCGCACATACAGTCAGGACTGCAGCTTCAAAGACAGCATGTACCACGTGGGAGACTATGTGTATGTGGAGCCTGCAGAGCCTAACCTCCAGCCTCACATCATCTACATTGAACGCCTTTGGCAAGACGACACTGGTCAGTCTCATTATTGCACAATAATTAGATGTTTTAATGACAAAAATCATGACAATAGTTGTTTGTGACCTGCAGCATATTCAGTTAGTGTTTCTGTTCAATAAGACTAATCCTTTTTAATCAGACGTTATTCTGTTTTCCCCCATCTAATACATGCAGGTGAGAAGTGGCTTTATGGCTGCTGGTTCTACAGACCAAACGAAACATTTCATCTGGCCACAAGGAAGTTCTTGCAGAAGGAAGTTTTTAAAAGTGACTATTACAACAAAGCTCCTGTCAGTAAGATTCTGGGCAAATGTGTGGTCATGTTTGTAAAGGTAAATACTCTTTTTCCTATGTTTGTTAGGTTGTTTTGAACTGTTTCGATGTGTTTTCAGTGTTAATTCAATATTTATGGTGTGTTGGTTTTAAGGAGTACTTCAAACTTCATCCAGAAGGCTTCAGAGCTGACGATGTTTATGTCTGTGAGTCGCGCTACTCTGCCAAGTCCAAGTCCTTCAAGAAGATCAAGATGTGGACCATGCCCCCAAGCTCAGTGCGGTTTGTTCCCAGAGAGGTCCCCCTACCTGTCGTCCGTGTGGCCTCCGTGTTTGCTCCCAAACAAGAGGAGAAACCTCCCGAGGTGGTGGATGAAATCAAAATGACAGACGGTATTGTAGACAAGGTAAATACCCTTTTTATTCCTCTTCCCGATGACAGAAAATAAAGAAGGCTACTGTCAGGTTAACTACTTGTGTTTGCAGGAGAGGGAGGATGTTCCCATGGATATGACCAATGGGGAGCCGGGGTGTCAATACTACGAGCAGCTCTGCTACAACAACCTGTTGCTGAAAGTAGGAGACTGTGTTTACATTGGTTCACATGGACTAGTGCGCCACCGAGTGGGCAGGTAGAGTAAATATATACAACTTCAACTTCAACATAAAATTCTGCAAAAGCACTTGTCTAGCTGACATTCAACCCCATAACTCAGACAAAAAACGGTAGATTGTAACCATATTTTCCATTTACCGGTAGTTGGATACTGAAATGATGACCCTAAACTTGTGTTAAACTGGAATTTAATACCAATACCACCATATATATATACCAATATATGAATCACTTCCATTTTGACAAAAAAAAATTTCATACTTTCATAGTCTGGACAGACATGGTTGTAAACTCTGTGTTTAGTGTCCTGTCTGTCTGTAACTTTGTGTGGTAGTGTTACCACTGACAGGTCTCTCTTGGAAATGAGACCTTGTGTCTCAATGAGATTTTAAACCTGTATAAATAAAGGCTAAATAAAAAAAACAAAAAACTGGAACTTGAGTGGTTGCTGCAGGCAACAACCCTACGAAGGTCATTCTAGTTTTTGTATCTATATTGAACAGGATTGAGAAAATGTGGATGCGAGACGGAGCAGGCTACTTCTTTGGTCCAATCTTCATTCATCCAGAGGAAACGGAGCACGAGCCAACGAAAATGTTCTACAAGAAGGAAGTGTTCCTTAGCAACCTTGAGGAGACTTGCCCTATGACCTGCGTCATCGGTAACATGTTGCACAAGTACCGCTTTGTTTTCATAAATCCTGCAGTGTAGGACGTCTCAGTTATGTAGTTGATAGAGATCGTGTACTCAGACAGCTGTCTTGTTTCCTAGGGAAGTGTGTGGTGTCGTCCTTCAAAGACTATCTCTCCTGCCGGCCAACTGAAGTGCCTGAAGAGAACGTGCTGCTCTGTGAGAGCCGCTACATCGAGAGTGAGAAGCAGATGAAGAAGTTCAAGGGCCTTAAGCGCTTCTCACTCTCTGGGAAAGTGGTGGAGGATGAAATCTACTATTTTAGGTGAAAAACGTTTTAGTTAACGTGAATTAGCAATAATTATGTACAAAAATGACATGGTAGTTATGCACTGATACAGAAACAAGTGTTGGCGGAATCAAGTCCTTGATTGTCTATGCTTGTTGCACAGTTTAATTAAAGAATAACTTATTCTTCCTAAAGGAGGGAGTCATTTGAAAAAAGGTTATTAATCCGGTAAATATTGTTTTCTGATGTCTTTATATAGGAAGCTCATAGTGCCCCAGAAGGAGCCCTCCCCTCTGCTGGACAAAAAAATTGAGAAACTGGAGGCCAAGTTTGCTGATATGACAGATGAGGAGCTAGAGGATCTTGGGGATGATGATGGCGAGCTAGGGGACCGGTCACACTCTCGGAGGCACTCTTCCATGTCTAGTGACATGGATACCATGCCTTACACTCCTCCGCAGGTCAGGGTGGAAGATTTTAGTTACAAATGTTAATATTCTATGAAAACATGCTGTTAGCATTCATGTAAAGACACTTTGTACTGTGTTCGGTTGCAGTCCACACCAAAATCCGTAAAGGGCCTTCCAAAGAAGGAGGGCTCCAAGCGGAAGATCAACATGAGTGGCTACATCCTGTTCAGCAGTGAGATGCGGGCGGTCATCAAAGCCCGGAACCCAGACTTCTCCTTCGGGGAGCTCAGCCGCCTCGTCGGCACAGAGTGGAGGAACCTCGAGGGTTCCAGGAAAGCAGATTATGAAGGTGGGGGGTTTGATTCTATTCTTCACCTAGATGTTTGTGTTTCAAAAGTTGTGAACCGTATGAAATTAACACTTTTGCTGGTCTTTATTGCTTTGCAGAGCGAGCAGCTAAATTGGCAGAGCAGCAGGAGCGGGACAGGGCCCATCATCAGACGTCGCCTAGAGCAGGTACCCCAGTAGGGGCACTGATGGGGCTGGTCCCTCCCCCAATCCCCATGGGGATGCTAAATCACAGCATGACGCCTGTGTCAGGTTACCCCTCATAGATGCAGAGGGATCACTTAGGCTGGAATAAGAAGCTTAACTGCCAGATGTTTTGTCATTTGTTACAAGTTTCCTAATCACACCCATGCCTGCATGTGTCCTGATTTAATTATATGTTGTCTCTAACATCATTTAACTTATTTATAAGCCCAAACCTTGAGTGTTGTGCAGTACTTTGTATTATTAACATCATGGTAGAATCCATATATCTGTATTTTAATGCAGAACATGAAGCTTAAGGTTGCTGTCCACTGTTTGAGGATTGGGATTTAAAGAGCCTGTGTGTAGTATTTAGGGGAATATATTAGCAGATTGAATTTGTTAAAACTTGTGGTAATGCAGGCCACAGGCTGAATTAGGTCGTTTCTAAAGAAGTGTCATTTTAGACCTTATTTTAAGGTCCTGGAAGATGCCACAAAATGAACACGGTTTAGCAATGATGGCTCATTGCAGTCTTGAAAATGGAGGGGTTAGCAGCAGGGTATTCACTTCAATTCAAATCTGCAACAAAAAACTAGCTGCTTCCAAATTCTACACACTGCCCTTTAAAAATGAATAAGTGCTTGACAATAGTGCATGCCAACAAAATGGTATTCATTATGCATATTTAACTTTTGTGCCTTTTTATTTCAGTTCAAAAACATCATAGTGCTCTGTTGATTGAATGAAAGCATATATATTAACATGTTTCTGCATGCTTGGTAGTGCAAGTAGTTGATGCATGTCTGACTGATGCATGTTGCTGTCTTGTGTTACTACTGTCCCTTCCTAAGAAGGTATGATGGGTGCATATAGGTCAGCTATGATGCAGGGATACGGTGAAGGCATGGTTAGTATGACTGGCATGCCACCACATCACATGGGGGTGCCTGTCTTTCCCCAACATCTCCTGCCCGTTATGCCTGGGTTTCCTGGAATGCCGTACTTTGGTAAGAGTGCTGTCATAGCAACCCCACCTGCCACGCAGTTGCTTCCTGTCTGCCAATCTGACATGCTGGAGGGGCTACCTGTACCAATAGGCTGAGGTCCTGAAATCACTAGTCAGTTGAGAGATAACATCCTCAACTGGGGCTCAGCTATTTGTCCTGCTCAATATCATAAACCTGATATATTTTTGTTAAAATATTAATAATTGGCATTCCTTATTGTTCTAGTCTATATTAAAATGGCACTGGTTAATTTCAGAAATTGAATTTAGTATTTGTAATTTAAACCAATATCAAATGGCCTGCTGCACTTCTTGACAGTGTCTTGATGTTGAATATCCCCACAGGTGTCAACGGCCCGGGAGGTGTTCATGGAGCAGGAAACATTCAAGGATCTCAGGTAATCTGTAAGGCTCTGTAAACAGGCAACCATATGTAAAAGGGGGACATAGCTCTGATTGTAAGCCCTTTTCCCCATTCACTAAGTATTTTATTCAGTAATATTCTTCATAAACACAGTATAGATATTGTCAGAAGTATGCCTTTATCATAGAACATTGAAACAGTTCACACATCATTTTAAACCCTACACAATATTACTATGATATTCCTATCATATCTCTGTCTGGGATTAGAAACATACATTACACTTAAAATACTGCACTAGTTAAAGAAACATAATACACATATTACCACACAGTGTTGTTTGAGTATTAGTGTTTTGAATCATTAAAGAAGCATTCAAATGATTGTTATGTATTTAAATATGTGGACCCTGGTAGAAAACGTTGTGCTTGAAGCCCTAATCAACAGAACATGTAAAAACCACTATGTGATGCATTTGAAGATTTTCTGACACCCATTGCAGATTGGGACTTCAATTATCTCAAGATGATAATGAAAATGTAATCCTGTATGAATGCCAATATTTTCATTAGATGGGTTCGATTGGCCAAGGGCAGCAGGCTCCCCCACCGTACCCAGGACAAGGCCAGATGGGACAGCCTGCGCACCAGCAGCCCTCCACCCCCATGTTCGTGTCCCCACCAGCCAAATCTCAGCGGCTGCTCCACTCTGAGGCATACCTCAGATACATCGAGGGCCTGACTGCAGAGTCCTCTACCATCAGCAAGTGGGACCACGCTCTTTCAGGTTAGTCTTGTTTTTTGATTACAAGTGATTAAAGTCACACTAGACATGCACTTAAATACATATTTTGTTCAACTCCATAAACCTTGAACAGAATATAGTACATCAACATCATATTCAGTAACCCTAAAATGTTATTAATACATTAATGTAGAATGGTAAATATTCTAAGATGTATAATCTTAATGTTTTATTTGTGTACTTACAGTTCAAAAACAAGATGTGCGCCTCACTAAAGAGCAGGAGAGCAGACTGCCATCCCACTGGCTGAAGAGTAAGGGGGCCCACAAGACAATGGCAGATGCACTTTGGCGACTCCGTGACCTGATGCTGCGAGACACCTTAAACATACGCCAGACGCACAACCTGTAGCATGCCCGTATTCTGAGCCTCTGTTGCCGCTGTTCCTGTGAGACAGGCAGGGGGCAAGCTCACTAAAAGTGTTAACTTTGTGTTGTTGTTTAAAAATGTGTTTGTAGTTTTAAAAGCTCACTGTGTTTGAAGCTGTTTTTTGTTTTACATTTCAGATATATTGTTCTAAGTGCATTATTGTTAATGGCTGTCATTCTGTGATGAATGCCTTTATGCTTTCACGATTAAAATGGGAAGAGCTCAATGTGGCTGTATTCATTCACTTAGTATGACCAACTGTACGAGGATACAGAATTTAATATGGATTATTATAAATCCAACACAAACACTCACTGACATACCACTCATTTATTTTTGGTAGTTTAGAATACAAAGGTAATAAACAAACAGTCAAACAATATTGTACACACAATATTACATACAAAGTAAATAATGAAATACACATTGCAAAAATAAACAAGAGAATACACAGTGCAAAGAATAATGCGGGAGTGCATCCACAGGGCGAGCGCAAGAAATGCATGTACAAGGTGTTGTGTACAGAATCGACCACCCTAATATTATTTTAAAAAGACAAGACAACCCATATGAAAAAATGGTACATAGGAAAGCTATTTTACTTGAACTGTATTGGATTTATTTCCCCAGAAGGTTATTTGTTTTCACAACTAACTAAACATACAGATAGCAACATAAATACATATGACAACATACATGATGTACAGCATCGGCAGGTATGATTAAAAACCTTTAATTTGAATATTGAACGAGTATTTGATGTAAAGTTGTCTTGTGTTGCACTTGATGGAGACCGAGCAAGGGGCGTGTCTAAGAGCGTTCCTCTGTCTTCTGCGCGTGCGTAGTATGGTGACCGCGCAGTTCCTTTTGCTCAGACGTTTGAAAGCTGGCACGGTGAGCGCGCGGCTGATCGGGTTGTAGTGCCTCCCATCCCATCCTGACTGAATATACGGTAACGGTAAGATATCCCGTTGCTTTAACATGAATTATATACAGTCATGCGGGGTACACACTTGTAAATTGGGTGCTGGTCCAATATATTGGCAGTAAATCTGAACTGTTCGGACTGTTAGCTAACTTTATGCTTAGCAGAAAACACATTAGCATGCTAGCAGCTAACATTAGCAGGCTGACTTTGGAGGACCTGGATCAGTCTAATCCATGGAAATGGGATACTGCCTTCTATGCGGCTTTAGATAAGATTGTACGTTAAATTAGTTTAGTTTAGGACATTGGATCAGGAGATAACTTCTGTTAGATATAACTGTTCGTTACATCGATGCAGTGATCGCCATGTGCTTGTATTTAACTTGTAGAAAACAGCTTTCTAGACAGCTAGCTTAGACATCAGACTGCATAAACCGATCTGCAGTCAGCGGGGCCAACTGAGCTAACGTCAGTTTGAGGCTATGTAGCCTAGCTTGTTAGCTGCTAGCAAGCTAACGTCAGACTGAATGCATGCAAGTTGAGCATGACTGAAACTAGCAAAATATATGTGAACTATGTAACAAGAACTGCATTGACTTGTTAGATAGAGCAGTGAGAAAAACAATTTCATACACAACAAACATGAATTACAATTGCATTTTGCCCGCATTTATAAACTTTTAGGTATCATGATCTTACAGTAACCAATATGTCACACATGTGTGTCACGTTAAACTTTGAATAGTTTCCAGATACTGAGTTATCTCTCTCATTCACTCTCTTTAGTGACAAGCATGGAGCTAAATGATGCTAACCTCCAAAGCCTCACCGAGTTCCTCAGGAAAACACTGGACCCAGATCCAGCAGTCAGACGTCCAGGTAAAACATCGTAATGACACATCATTGCATATCTTCATACGGTTTATAAAAAATACATGTTTTAATGTACCTGTCTATGCTAATGATTAACTTGATTGTGTTGTCTCTCCTGCTTTCTATTTTCTATTTTTTCTTAGCTGAAAAGTTTCTTGAATCAGTGGAGGGCAACCAGAACTATCCGTTGTTACTGCTCACTATGCTGGAGAAGTCCCAAGACCAGGTCATTCGAGTCTGTGCTGCTGTTACCTTCAAGAATTACATAAAAAGAAACTGGCGCATTGTGAGTCTCACTGAGTAACATCATGTTTACATATTGTGTACACTAGTATCTTGTATGTAGGGATGGATATTATGGAGAAAATAAACATCACAATTATAAAGGACAAATACCTCAGGATGTATATTCTATGGTTGACTATTTGTGCTTTCAAAACATATTTACACAATAAGATTTTTAGGAATAACCTTCTGTAATGTGTGCTGAATTGCTAAGTGGGTAAAAGCAAAACATAGAACAGTCCAGTATGTTCAGTATTATCACTTAACTGTAATGCAGCCTTTTAAAACCAGAGAAAGACTAATATGTATGACATATTACAATATTCAAAATATAAGATGATATCTAGTCACAACACCAATATGATATCAATATATCCTCCATCCTACTTGTTTGTAGGTACAGTGTCTCACCCTGCATGTCTGGCATCAGATTGAGGCTACATGGGACAAACTGTACCTTAAGTAGCATTTTGTACAAAGTCTGATCAGAACAGGTGTTCTGTGTATTCTGGGGTTGTAGTTGATTGTCCTGCGTTTGTCATGTTTTTCTAAAGGTTGAAGATGAACCAAACAAAGTCTCTGATGCAGACCGAATAGCGATCAAAGCCAACATAGTCAATTTGATGCTAAGCAGCCCAGAACAGATTCAAAAACAGGTACATCCTCACATATTATTATTATTATTATAGTGTTTAAAGAAATCTAATTTAAAAGTGTGTAGGAAGATACTCATCCAAGCCCCTGTTTATGCTTTGCTTTCCACAGTTGAGTGATGCCATCAGTATCATAGGAAGGGAAGACTTCCCTCAGAAATGGCCCGACCTGCTAACTGAGATGGTGAACCACTTCAGAAGTGGAGACTTTCACATCATCAATGGAGTGCTTCGTACTGCACATTCTCTCTTTAAAAGGTAAATATCATTGCTTAATCATTTTAAAAATAATGTAATTATTACATTTAAACACATTTTATTAATTAAAAAAAAAACTTTGTGTCCAAGGTACCGCCATGAGTTTAAGTCAAACGAGCTTTGGACAGAGATCAAACTAGTGCTGGATACGTTTGCCCTTCCTCTGACGGAGCTGTTCAAGGTTTGTAATGACTTGAGGTTCATTTACCACAACTCTTCACCCATCTCAAAAGGTTGGACATGGATATAAGATAAGATAGTACTTTATTGATCCCAATTTGGGAAATGTTTGTGTTGCAGCAGCATAAAAAGACATGGCATTGTACAATATAAATCAATCAACATGTTGAATTTACAAATTAACAATAACAAGATGTAAAGCAAGGTATTATACATAAGTATATTACAATTACAAATATGATGAAGTTTTGTTCATTGTCAATGTTCACTCTATGCTGTAGGCCACTATTGAGTTGTGTCAGACTCATGCTACAGACGTCAATGCCTTGAAGGTCCTCTTCTCTTCCCTCACACTCATCTCTAAGCTCTTCTACAGTCTGAACTTCCAGGTCAGTAAAATTAGCTTTGTACGTCCAGGCTTTGCTTTTCTGAACTGTTTTGCTATCATTTGTTTTTATTGATGTGACAAAATAGTAATTATAAATTGTAATGAATGTGTCATTGAAAGGCAATCATGCGTTATGAATTTGCCCCATGTGAAGGTCAGCATATCTACAGTTTTAGTAATGAATTTACACTTCCATCAGAGATGTGAAAATGTGCTTTCAACTGAACTCTGTATTATTACAAAGGACCTTCCAGAGTTTTTTGAAGACAACATGGAAACGTGGATGACCAATTTTCACGGCCTACTAACTTTGGATAATAAACTTTTACAAACAAATGTGAGTATTTCTTTCCTTTTTTTTTTCTCCACTCATGCAATACATTTCCACCATTGCGGTGCTACAGAGATTTGAATGGTGTGGCTGTGTCTCTTAGGACGAGGAGGAAGCAGGTCTCCTGGAGCTGCTGAAGTCTCAGATCTGTGACAATGCAGCTCTCTACGCTCAGAAGTACGATGAAGAGTTCCAGCCGTATCTGCCGCGCTTTGTCACGGCCATCTGGAACCTTTTAGTTTCTACTGGCCAGGAAGTCAAATATGACCTGGTGAGTCATGTACCCTGACTGTGTTTATGTCCTTTTTCAAAGTTCACTTTCCCTCTACTAACAATGCACCTTGTATTTGTTGCAGCTTGTGAGCAATGCTATCCAGTTCTTGGCATCGGTGTGTGAAAGGCCACACTACAAGCATCTATTTGAGGACCAGAACACGCTCACTAGCATCTGTGAGAAGGTCATTGTGCCCAACATGGAGTTCAGAAGTAAGTAAAAAAAAAAATGTCAGCTTTCGATTTTACCTGGAAATGTCATCAGTGGTTGGCTGGTGCAGGGCTCTGCTTGCAGGTACACACACCTGCACTATGTGATACTGACAAGGATGTTTGTAATCCTGATCAGGTGCAGATGAGGAGGCCTTTGAAGATAACTCTGAGGAATACATCCGGAGGGACCTTGAAGGATCTGGTAAGGATTTAGCATAATGCAAACCATTCACATTAATACACAAACGAATATGTAGTTCCTCTTCACATTTTGAGTTTAACTATTGTTTTGTGAAGGGTCTCCTGGCATATAAGATCCGTCAAACCCCAAATGCATAGTTATTTTATTTGTTGTTGGTTTGTTTTGCACTCAAAAGTTCACACGTAAATAACTAACTGTGAAGAAAATGCTCCAATGATAACCATGTCCCCACTGTTTACCCTTTCCCGCATCCTACCTCAGACATTGACACTCGTCGTAGGGCCGCATGTGACCTGGTGAGGGGCCTCTGTAAGTTTTTTGAGGGCCCTGTCACAGCAATCTTCTCTGGCTATGTGAACTCTATGCTGGGAGAGTACGCCAAGAGCCCTGGGCAGAACTGGAAACACAAAGATGCCGCCATCTACTTGGTCACATCACTGGCGTCGAAAGCACAGACACAGAAGGTATGTTGCAAACATTTTCAGAGGATTGTTGAATATATAACTGCTAGTAAAAAGGTACATTTATAAAAAGTGTTTGATATAATGAGAATAACTGTTTGAGTGATTGTCTTTTCCCCCCTCACCAGCATGGGATAACACAAGCCAATGAGTTGGTGGATCTGAATGAGTTCTTTGTG